GGGGGGGGTTCTCCTTTGCGCAACATGTCACAATATCATATAATTCCATACAGTACAGTTCCCAACTAGAATAACTGAGATCAAAAGCTCTGCAATTGACAATACTTTTATTGATAATGCAAGGATAAATTCATATGATGTTATCTCTATTAGTAATGGACTATCAGATCACGATGCTCAGTGTCTTCTGCTAAAAAAATATCAATAAGAAAAAAGTGCAGGGAATCACAACAAGATTAGTAAATGAAGATTCAATTGCACAATTTCTTAATAAACTATCTAATGAAAAATGGGAAAATATAAACTTAATGGTGTAAATGAAATGTTTAATTCATTTTTAAATAAGTATTGTGACGTGTTGCGCAATGGAGGAAAACTCCTCCCTCCACTAGCAGTGACGTGGCGGGTGAGTCAGCGCTCCCCCCTCCCCCTCCGCACTGTGACATGGCACGCAACGCCGGTGTTGACACGGCGTCAGGCAACAGCGGTACCCATTAGGTAACAGGCAAACACTGCGACCTTATAAGCGAACTACACAGCCGCCGAAGGCAGTTAAAGTGTATCAGCCACCAAAGTAAGTTCTCAAGTCAGCAGTTATGAGTTACGAGTTGGCCAGGGAAGAGTATTCAGTCAAGTAATTGCAATACTGCAGATAGCAGTAGTTGTCAGATTGTAAACTGTGTGATTGTATGAGCGAGTGTAGAATAAAATTCGCTATATCCAATACGGCGTGAATTTATTTGTCGCGTTATACACCAAACACGTGACAGTATTTACTTGTCTATGAGTCATTCTTTCCAAAGCAAAATGTAACAAATAAACACAATGATAATGGCTGGATAACAGCTGGAATACATACCTCCTGTAGACGGAAGGAATCTTTGTTCATTCTCAGTAGAAACAATTACAACTGTTTGTTTAAATCATACTATAATTCCAACTGCATGATACTAAGAAGAGTAATAAGAGAAGCTAAAAGGAAATAATAATTCAATTCAATTCAATTCAATTCTTTATTATTAATGTGCCGAGTCAACAGCCGCAAGGCCAATTACAGACTCAGCAAATAATAATAATAATAATAATAATAATAATAATAATAATAAAGAACGTCTACTACAAACTTTTCAAAACAATAACAAAAATAAATATTGATGAAGCTGCTCATAGTTTTAATAAGACCACACTTTTCTCGGGCCATTATCTCCGTGACTGTTCAACTTTGGACACAGGTGTTTTGGGTTATATTGGCATACTTTAACATATGGAACACCCTCCCAAAGTCTGGCACATTCCTCCTGGGACACCCTGTTTATGATTGGTACAAGAAGGAATAACCACCTACATATACCTACAACACATTTATCATCCTATCAGAGAAGGGTGTATTATTCAGGCATCATGCTATTTAACACTCTGCCGTCAAATATCTCAGCTTTAAAAAATGATAAAAATCAATTTACATTTGTTTTATGAAATTATTTGCAAAGTAACTCATTTGACTCTATTGATGAATTTGTCGAGCATGCAAAGGGCTCAAATGTTAAGAGTTAATAAATGGTCTGTGTGCTTGTATTATACGCTGTTGAGACTTGCTGGCTGTAGGTGTGGCAGTATGTATGATGTCTGTGTTTGTTATGAATTGTAATATGTTAAAATGAAACTGTCTTGATGATATGGCTGGCCAATGTGTGTGGAATGGCAAGATGTGCAATTGCGCAGCATAAAGTTGTTATGGTTGGAAATATGAGGAATTATGTTCAGGGTCGAATGTGACAGTGGTTTTATCATGGCCTATGTGTGTTGTCTTGACAACTTGTGCTGTCTGCATGAGACCTGATTATATACTTTACTGGACCAAGGACGTATGATGTGTAATCATGAATTTGCAATGTGTGATATGTTTTATATCCAGACCTATGGGGAGGTCATTAGATCCATGAAGTGAAAATAAATGTAAATGTAAAGACCATATTCATTGTATACTCATAACAAGCAAGTCTGATTACCTCAAATAATGAAACTGAAAAGCCATGAACAACTTGCAGAAAAGGTTGGGGACAGTTTCCTTATATTTTTAAAGTTCACAGAATTAGCGATGGAATTTGCACTGAATACCTACAAAGTTAACATTCTTTGACTTATGTGTCCACTGATACTAAAGAGATTATAGTATAATTAATTCTTCAAAATTAGTTTTGAAGAGTGCATATTTCATTTGAAATGGCTTGGTATATAACAAAGTTTCTTCACTCATAACTTACTTTCAAAGCGAGTGACAGCTGAGAAGTCCTCCCTGCTGTATACTTTTCCACAGCCAGCCTGTCTATCTTCACTCTCTTCCCTAATAGTAAAACGCTGATCTTGTGCTTGAGTCAGGGTGTCGAGACAACTAAGCAGGTGTAGAGCTGCCTGCGATCGAGTGACAAAGCAAGATGTGACTACAGGAAGAGCGAGTTCTGGACTGAGAATTGATGGAGGAAGAAATTCGGCTGCTCTGGACTCACTGGCAACCACATTGTAGCACATCATATCATGGGTCCCAGGATGATAGCTAATAAAATAAATATTTCAATATTTATGTAAAAAGCTATTGTAACATCTATAATTATAATACAAATTCATATTAAACTCCCTAACCTAAGGAACAGTTCATAAAAAATTTACCTCCACAGCACGTTATATAGTGGATCAAGGCACGTGGCTGTGTTTGAAAAATCCACCTGGTCACTGCCACTAAAGCTGCTACAGTTACCATCACGCTTGTTAATGGTCAAGCATTTGAAAGAGCTTGCATGATCATTCTGTGTTGGGAGCAGAACTGGAATGTAAAAACACAAAATTAGTATACAGTGGAACAGCAAGATTACAGTGTCCTTTGGTCATGGGAAAAAGGTGGTAGCACATTTACACACAACTACTTAGTGATTCATTCTAGTGGTACTGGTCCCCAGGAAACACATTAAAAATGTTATAATTAAATATATAAAGAAATCTAAATCAAAAGTTATGAAGTGAAATGCTTATGGACCTCTTCAAGTTTCTGTTCCTCAACCAATAACATAATCACATATTATTTGTTACTTCTAGCTGCTAAAAGACAGAAGCTGCATCTGCTAATATTTCTCACTGCCCTGTTCCTTCCCAATAATATTGTAACACGTTTAGTTACTGAAAATGCCGTTCAGATTGTTAATTGGTTTATTTAACCCTTTTACGCGGTCATTTAAATTCCGCGGCCGCGTCTCCGGCGGTAATATATTCAGCCGGCCATTTAAATTTTGCTCGAAAATTATTTATTCATCATTGTTCTTAAATTCTATGAGATAGGAACATGAAACTTTCACTAAAATNTAGTTCAAGGAAATGTCCTTCCGTGAGCAGTAAAGCTAGTCAGGTCAGCTGCAGTAAATTCAACGTTACGAGTTATCATAACAAGGGGTTGTTGCTATGCCTTTGATATTCCATCCATTTTGGCGGCTGTAGATGTCGTAGGGGTGACCACAGAATTCATGAAGTTATTCTAAGTACTGGCTGGTATGTAGTGCACGAAAGCAGAGCCTAGCTGGCTCAAAAAAATATTTATGGTCATCCCTCGAAACGACCACCAAGGTCAGTACGATAAAATGGCGTCAGCTGGAGCGATAATACATGAAGGAATGAGTTCTTTTCCCTCCCCCACACACATCCGTATCGTCTCAGGGGGTGACCACAGTGTTCTGCCTTAAATTGTGGCGTTTTTCTAAGAACTGGGCCTTTGTACTGTGCGAAATCAATCGATCTTGCAAGAATAAATGTTTGGATATCCCTCTTCTAAGAATTCCAATTGAGTGTGTTAGTGTGGCCAGCTCAGGGCAATATGATATTATAAACACAGCACATATCACGTCTCTGCTGTTTATAATTTCATAGGAAAGAAAACACGGCATTCATAAACGTAGAACGAATAAACAGCTCGCAATAGCCACAGGAACTTTGCTGCAAGACAGGCATATGTAACGATGGCTTAGCGCTCTTAAACTCGTGTCTCATTTATAAACCGTTCTTGTGATAACAGGCCAGCGAAGAATCTAACAATCTACAGCAAAACCATCAATTATTATGGGCGTTATAACATAGGTGTGCAGCTGGACGAAACATACACGTCGAACCCCCCCAGACGATTTAAATACCTGACGAAACATACACGTCAAACCACGCCAACGGGTTAACAACCTACAAGTCTCGGCTACAATTAATTACAACGTTACAGGTTTACACACTTTAGGAACCTACACACAAATCTCTTCACACTATCACGATTCACTTGTTAAACTGAACTCGGTGACTACTACACTTCAAATGTCTTAGGCGGCTGCTACATTTTAACTCGCTTCGTAGGCTGCTACACTTTACCTCAACTCAACTCAACTCAACTGTCTTCGTAGGCAGTGTAGTTCTCTTATAAACCGTCAGCCAGACAATGGGAAATGCCTCGCTCCCTTGTTGCCTAGTTGCTGTTTGCCAATAGCCTAGCAACACTGTTGGGAGTTGTTTACGGCTACGTAGCAACTGCGGCATACCGTGTTACATCACCGCGGGGAGAGACGGGGTGTTGACTGGCTTTGCTTAGCAACCGCTGTTTACTTGCATTGCACAGCGACCAGTGTGCTTGGACTCGGCTCGCTTCAGCTCTGCTCGGCACGTCATGGCTGGTGGGGAGGGAGGGTCATCCTCCATAGCGCAACACATCACAATATTCATAGCATGCATTCTCCACATTTCTTAGTCATAAGCATTTTATAGACTTAAATATTTTTTATTCATGACATCTAAAGACAGTTTAGGCAGTGCAAGGTCTGAACAGTTTTGATATTTATTTTACATAAATTTTCTGTGAGGAACTGCGCAGTATTTTATTCGCACTTACCTGTTTAAAAATGTTGTGAAAGCATATCCACCGAATGTGAAAATGAAAGTGTTATGACAGCAGCAAATAAGTGAGCATTAAGTGGAAATGTGGTCAGCACATCATTAGAAGAATTCTGAAGAATGCAGACGTTACTTATCATTTTCCATGTATTTCTGTTTTTGCTTACTAAGTGGCATTCCCCATAATCAGTATTCACTTCATATTGTGGCATACAGACCCATTGCTGGGCAGACACCTCAAAATGGACAATGAGTACAGCCGTTGCTATGCAACAGCTTGGTAAACACGTCCCCGCAGAAACAATTGGACATCTATTGTTAGGCAGCCACCCATGACAACAACAGAAGGATTGTTGGAGGCAGTGTTTTCCACTGGGTCCACCCCAAGGTTATTTAACAAGGACACCAGCTGAGCTGCAGTACATTGTCAGCAGTTTAGAGAAGTGAAGTGATGTGAAGTAGCTGGTTGCTGAGTGAGAGAGTTCAGCTGAAAGTGAGTGTGTGAAGAGAGGACTAGGAGGTTGGCGTGAAATGGCCACCAGCCTGGGACCCAGTTAGTTGAGCTATCAGTTGACAAGAGTTCTGCATGGGTGACTGTGACAAGAGGACCTGAGTGTGGAAAGCTGAAGAATCTCCACTGTTACGAGTAGAAGTCATTGCTAGGGACTGACTGGTTAAGACACAGCAGGCTGAAAAAGGCTTAGCAGGTCTTGTGGTAATTTGTAAAGTGTGGAGATTAGCAATGGTGCTATTATTACTTGTAGTTCTGAGTGGCATACACAAGTGGTCAATAAATTCATTCACCAATCCATACCCTGTCTATGGTCACACACACCTAAAATCATGACAATACTATGAACCCACAATATGTGGGTCTGAGTATACTACATTTTTCATATTGCATATATTTTGAAAACTAAATGTAAACCTTTTGGCAGTGTAAAAAACTTACCAATGCTACTTTTATTGGCCATTACTGTAGACCTTGTCAGGCTCAACGAGTTGATCAGACTTTCATCTATTTTTAGGTATGTCTGATCCCCAGATGCTCCAACCCAAGTTGCCCTTCGCCCATGCCTTGGTCCAATATTTGGCACTGGACCTGGATATGCATACCATGGACCATCTCGGGACAAACGAGCTTCTTTCTTGTTGCTAGTTACTGGGGACTCGTGTCCTACCGCAGGGGATGGCCGTCCCAACTGGCCCTTCTGCAATATTTAAAATATGACTGTCACAGGTGTTTGGCATACATATTGGAAACCAGTTACTAATGAAACTCTCCAACTTTTGAAATACATGCTGGTATATCTTATTTCAGACTATTATTACTTCACCACAGATGAAATTCTGCTATAGTGTCCTGGGTGTCTATAAACATGCCTGGTAGGGCATATTCAAGTAGGAATAACAGAGAGGCTAATTGTTGGCTGATGACATAGAAGGGCGGAACATCTAAACAGTCACATGTTACAAGCAGTGCATGGAATCAAACCTTTTTTTATTAACCATACTAATTCATTTACAAAACAATTAAGTTCCTACACATTTAATAACAGATGGTGTGCCACTGAAGGTTGTACTTTTCAAACAAACTCAACCTCTCACCAAACCAGGGCATTCAATAATAAGGCATTGCTCCTACCATACTGGGCAGACAGCAGCCTATATTTTGAGCTACGTGCTGCCAAACAAAATGAAAGAAACCTCACTGTTTATTTTGACCTTCATTCAGCAATCGCATATACCAAGAACATCTAGAACGCGTGCACAAGTAGCACAAAGCATACAAACTCCACTGAGGGCAAGTTCTAAGGGAGTGTATACCTCTTGGCCTCTCTTTCTTTCCCTTCTACCCTAAGAGACTATGACCAGCTACATCAGCAGCTCCCAGTGCCTGTACTTCATGAACCAAGCACATGCACACACTACTTTGGAAGCCTCAACATGCACCTGTTCAAACTGATAACATATAAATTGGGGGGACTGACAGTATATGAAGTCACAAATTACTTATATCCATGTGACTACTATTTGTAATTCTCTACTTCAGCATCCCGTTGCACATCCTCAATCAAACGTCTATGTATTAAGTTCGTCAATAATGTGACAATCATTACAACATTCACCATTCGACATCAACACGACATGTTTCGGCCACAGACGGCCATCCTCAGGTGTTTCAATGCATCCAAACTGTTACACTGCTTTGATGCACACTTAAATTGCATGCTGCAGTCCTCTTAAAATAACAGAATTAATTATTTAAAATTCATTAAAATTTTTCTATTAAAATCTTTCATAAAATCCTATTCCACCTCATAAGGGGCATCGTCCACTTGTTCAAAGTTATGTGATATTCCAGACAGTTTTTCGCAGCTTGTTTTTCTGTTTCATTTGCAGGTATGGGTGCATAAATTACATGAGTAAATACAATTCCCACAAATTTTATATGGAATATATTTTTGTATGGTGAAAATTAAAAATGTGTTGACAGCAAAATCTTCCGAGGCCACATACAAAAATCCTAAATATTGCAAAACTATACTATCACAAAAATTCTGTAATAAGCTACATAACTGACTTGTTTACTTGTTGATTTATAAGCTAACTTGTATGACAGTTATTAATGCACATGTTCCATGTTAAATGTACCACCAGCAGACTTTACCAAAATAAAGCAAAACTCTTTAGCCCTTAACGTCCAACTGACACATATATATGACGCAAGCAGCAACCAGAGTTGGCCGAATGACACGTATATATGACAGAGGACATGTGCACTCTTTGGGAGTGCTGACAGTTTGACCGTGGGTTTGAAACCAAAACAAACCTACATGAGGTCATGTCAGTGGTTCATTCCTTAGCTCTGAACAAAGAAATCGTTTATCTCAGTCCTGGTTTCGAAACTATTTATGTTTATATATGACTGTTTATGACCTGGTCAGCCAAATATAGCCCAGCTTTGTTCTGAGAACTGAAGAGGAAATATTCGTTGGTGCTTGCAGATCAGTGCTTCCAGAGCTTTCAAGGAAGTGTGACGTACTCNAGTTCTGAGTGGCATACACAAGTGGTCAATAAATTCATTCACCAATCCATACCCTGTCTATGGTCACACACACCTAAAATCATGACAATACTATGAACCCACAATATGTGGGTCTGAGTATACTACATTTTTCATATTGCATATATTTTGAAAACTAAATGTAAACCTTTTGGCAGTGTAAAAAACTTACCAATGCTACTTTTATTGGCCATTACTGTAGACCTTGTCAGGCTCAACGAGTTGATCAGACTTTCATCTATTTTTAGGTATGTCTGATCCCCAGATGCTCCAACCCAAGTTGCCCTTCGCCCATGCCTTGGTCCAATATTTGGCACTGGACCTGGATATGCATACCATGGACCATCTCGGGACAAACGAGCTTCTTTCTTGTTGCTAGTTACTGGGGACTCGTGTCCTACCGCAGGGGATGGCCGTCCCAACTGGCCCTTCTGCAATATTTAAAATATGACTGTCACAGGTGTTTGGCATACATATTGGAAACCAGTTACTAATGAAACTCTCCAACTTTTGAAATACATGCTGGTATATCTTATTTCAGACTATTATTACTTCACCACAGATGAAATTCTGCTATAGTGTCCTGGGTGTCTATAAACATGCCTGGTAGGGCATATTCAAGTAGGAATAACAGAGAGGCTAATTGTTGGCTGATGACATAGAAGGGCGGAACATCTAAACAGTCACATGTTACAAGCAGTGCATGGAATCAAACCTTTTTTTATTAACCATACTAATTCATTTACAAAACAATTAAGTTCCTACACATTTAATAACAGATGGTGTGCCACTGAAGGTTGTACTTTTCAAACAAACTCAACCTCTCACCAAACCAGGGCATTCAATAATAAGGCATTGCTCCTACCATACTGGGCAGACAGCAGCCTATATTTTGAGCTACGTGCTGCCAAACAAAATGAAAGAAACCTCACTGTTTATTTTGACCTTCATTCAGCAATCGCATATACCAAGAACATCTAGAACGCGTGCACAAGTAGCACAAAGCATACAAACTCCACTGAGGGCAAGTTCTAAGGGAGTGTATACCTCTTGGCCTCTCTTTCTTTCCCTTCTACCCTAAGAGACTATGACCAGCTACATCAGCAGCTCCCAGTGCCTGTACTTCATGAACCAAGCACATGCACACACTACTTTGGAAGCCTCAACATGCACCTGTTCAAACTGATAACATATAAATTGGGGGGACTGACAGTATATGAAGTCACAAATTACTTATATCCATGTGACTACTATTTGTAATTCTCTACTTCAGCATCCCGTTGCACATCCTCAATCAAACGTCTATGTATTAAGTTCGTCAATAATGTGACAATCATTACAACATTCACCATTCGACATCAACACGACATGTTTCGGCCACAGACGGCCATCCTCAGGTGTTTCAATGCATCCAAACTGTTACACTGCTTTGATGCACACTTAAATTGCATGCTGCAGTCCTCTTAAAATAACAGAATTAATTATTTAAAATTCATTAAAATTTTTCTATTAAAATCTTTCATAAAATCCTATTCCACCTCATAAGGGGCATCGTCCACTTGTTCAAAGTTATGTGATATTCCAGACAGTTTTTCGCAGCTTGTTTTTCTGTTTCATTTGCAGGTATGGGTGCATAAATTACATGAGTAAATACAATTCCCACAAATTTTATATGGAATATATTTTTGTATGGTGAAAATTAAAAATGTGTTGACAGCAAAATCTTCCGAGGCCACATACAAAAATCCTAAATATTGCAAAACTATACTATCACAAAAATTCTGTAATAAGCTACATAACTGACTTGTTTACTTGTTGATTTATAAGCTAACTTGTATGACAGTTATTAATGCACATGTTCCATGTTAAATGTACCACCAGCAGACTTTACCAAAATAAAGCAAAACTCTTTAGCCCTTAACGTCCAACTGACACATATATATGACGCAAGCAGCAACCAGAGTTGGCCGAATGACACGTATATATGACAGAGGACATGTGCACTCTTTGGGAGTGCTGACAGTTTGACCGTGGGTTTGAAACCAAAACAAACCTACATGAGGTCATGTCAGTGGTTCATTCCTTAGCTCTGAACAAAGAAATCGTTTATCTCAGTCCTGGTTTCGAAACTATTTATGTTTATATATGACTGTTTATGACCTGGTCAGCCAAATATAGCCCAGCTTTGTTCTGAGAACTGAAGAGGAAATATTCGTTGGTGCTTGCAGATCAGTGCTTCCAGAGCTTTCAAGGAAGTGTGACGTACTCAAGGATTGGTTTTCGGTGGCGAATTATCAGTTAGGAAGTCAGTGTCGGATTGTCTAATATTTCTTTTTCACTTTAAAAGTTAGTGTCAGACAGTCGTATATTTCTTTTTATTTTATTTTGTGTCTCAGAAGAGGTATAAACCCACTGAGCCAGTATTACTTTGTGAGTAAAAGGCATCTTCGTCACTGTGACTTTCCATATCAGTGTCAGACTGGCACCTTTTTGACTACTATTACAGTTATAATTTTTTATTGCTACTGGGGTGGGACTAAGTCCCTTGTACTGCTGCCGCTTCTGGCCTATTGTACCATACTATTACAGTTATTTTGCATCACTATTTTGTGAGTTTCTGTCAATTGATTTTACTGGAAACCCCCCCCCCCAAGATGGAACTCCAAAAATGTGCCCAATATTCCAAACTTCTCGATGCAAAAGAACTGGAGGAAATATTGATGGAAGAGGAATCTGATGAAGAGTTAGAAGATATCAATGAGTTCATTGAACCTCAAGCAAATATGTTGTCGTCGTAATCATCATCATCATCATCATCAGACGAGGCAGAGGAAACGGGAATTATGTTTCGTGATAGAAGACCTGGGGATTTGCCAAAGGTACTAGACTCCACTGGTCCTCCAAGTGGAATAAACAGATCAGCTGCTCCCAATATAAATGCACAGTACTCCCCTTTTTCCATTTTCATTCCGTTTTTCCAACAAATATTCCAAATCTTGTTACAAGAAACCAACAGATATTTCCACAATTTACTGCATGCCAAGATGCTCCAGGCCCTTCTATTCAACCGCCTAATGTTACAATTGAAGAGATATATAACTTTTTGGCAATAATTATTCAATTGGGCCACGATCAACAGGACACCCTCAAAGATTATTGGTCAAGAGATGGGCAATACTACACTCCATTCTACCCTAACACCATGGTACGAGAACGTTTCTTCCATATTTTGAGATTCCTACATTTCGAAAATAATGAAGCTCCTCCAAATCGAGATGACCCAGAGTATGATAGGCTCCGGAAAATTAGAAAAATTTTTGCCAATCTCAACAACAAATTTTGTGAATTTTACAATCCATCAGAACGTCTTGCTGTTGATGAAGTCATACTGCTCTTCAAAAGAAGAGTGATTTTTCATCCGTATATTCCAAAGAAACGCAAAAGATTTGGTATAAAAATTTACAAGCTTTGCTATTTTTTGGGGTATACTTATGACATGACAGTTTATTTGGGCAAACAAAGGCAATTTGCAACAGAAGAAATTACATCGACACATGGCATTGTTCTCCAGCTAATTTGAACAGTAGAAGGCTTGGGACACAAAATTTACATGGACAGTTATTTCAGTTCTCCTGCTTTATTTGATGATCTCTTAGACAGGAAAATAAATTCATGTGGCACAGTTCACAATGATAGGCGTGGAATGCCACAAGAAATTCGGCCCAAGTCAATGAAATTGAAAAAAGGGGATATTGTTACAAGAGTCAAGGGGCATCTAAGTGTTGTTCGTTAGACAAGCGTGATGTGTATGTTCTGACGAATTTGCACCCTTCTCAATTGGAAGGCAACTTCCGAGATGAATCGGGCCATGCTGTCAAACTCCATGTAATTGAAGACTACAATGCACACATGGGCTTTGTTGATAAATCTGACAGGATGGTAAACAGTTATGGCATTGCTAGGAGGACATGGAAGTGGACAAAGAAATTGTTATTCCACCTTCTAGATATGACTATTCTAAATGCATATCTATTACACAAATCATGTGGTGGAAAAATGACACACAAAAAGTTCCATGGAATATTGGTGCGGAATTTGATTCTTCACTCACATGAGGCAAATAAGAACGGTCAGTGGCATTTCTCGGGGGAGGCCAAGTTCATCTTAGGCCCAACTGCGTCAACTGGAGGTGAAACATTCACAACATTGGCCAACCAAAGGAAAACAAAGACATCGTATCTGTTCTCAAAATAAGAAGCGCAGAAGCACGCTGTACTACTGTAAAAAGTGTGACGTTGCGCTATGTGTGGTGGACTGCTTCGAGAAGTGGCACACGTGCGTCAGAGTGAGAGTTATCATAAACTGTGAAGTGACGCAGTTCAAACTCGCATTCAGTCTGAACAAAATATTATTGTATATAGTGTGATTATATTTACAATATCACCATGATTCAAGGTTGAAGAAAACTCAATGGGTAAGTCCTCTGGAATTTCATAACATATATAATAAAGATTATATTTTACATTTCATGACAAAACACTCACAGTTAATTTTCATTTGTAAAACTTGTCGTTTATGTATATGTAGAAAATTTTATTGTCTTTCAGGTTCTTTTTAGTTCATATTTCTATGTTGCGTAGAACAGAAAATATGCATTTTTTTCTGAAAGTTTGCAATGATAATTAATTAGGGTGATTTAAATTCTGGCCATACAGGGCTGCTGGCAGTTTAAAAGACCATATGTTAAAGGTTAATCACAGTAAATATCAGTACACGTTAAAAATTTATCCTCTAGATGTCACTATAATAGGTTTAAGGATCATAAAAGGCCATGGAAAAGCAATGAAAATAGTTGCAATATGATAAAATACCAAAATGAGTGAACATATTCTTTGCACATGTATTTGCTGTTGGTAGTATAGACCAGTTTCGTATTTGCATCTACATATGTAAATGGGTTAAAGAGAGCAGGAATAAGAAGTTATTTCCACCCTTCCTGTTTTGTTTCCAGAAACCAATGTCTCTACATCATAATTATATCAACAGGTTCACCACATATGGTGCAGCTTAAATGTAATGCAATTATAAAAAATGGCATTCATAGTTACATTAAAGGAGTAATTTCTTTATTATACAATAATTTGATACAGGAATGTCATACCTGGTAACTTCCAAATGTGTAAACTTCTCCTTTATTACTAAGGACAATAGTATGATTACTGCCAGCTGCAACATGTATAGCATGGCATGCCAATTTGACCAGTGTGGGACCACCACGTGGAACGAGGTCACCAACGCCTAGTTGACCATATGTATTACTGCCAAAAGTCATGACTTCCCCACTTTGAAGCAGCAGCACTGTATGATGTAGACCACAGGAAATTTGCATCACAGGACTCTCCACAGGTAAGTGTACTCTTGAAGGAGGGAGGGATGTTACACGGCTGGCATCTCTCTCCACATCACTACTTCCCGCTTGTTCTTCAACTGGACACCACAGGAAAAACAGACGGTGAACGGTTAGCATGTTTCTATAAACACAACTGTATACTGTTCATCACAATGTGAGGGTAGTCTTTCGTGTAATGGTTGGCCAGTCATGATACCAAACAAGGTAAGTGTACAACAAAGAGTAAGCCTTCCCTCCACAAGAGCAACAAGAATTGCATCTAGCTGCATGGTAGTTATATTCAGCTGGCATATCAACAATTCAAATGAAGATCAATATGAAGAGGAAGGGAGGCTTTTAGCTCTGCCCCAAAGAAAAGAAGAAAAATATTTAAAGAATGTGTCTATGAGATCCTGAACATACAACACGATCACAACATACCTATTATACTCTGAGCAGCTGGTATAGCGGGTGGAGGGCGAAATACTGATGGAACAGGTTTTGTTGTTACCACTGCAACAGTTGAGGGACCAGCCCTGTTGTTCACACCTTTCATCTTGAGACCACAGTGCTTGGATGATCCACTAGCTAATCTTCCTCGCTGTCTCTGCTTTCTTTCATCCAAACGACGCTGCAGGTGATCTTGCAGGCGTGCTCCATGCCGTCCTGAAATAAATATAACTTCAGAATCATCAGTGGTTCAACATTTGAAAAAGATTACAATTAAAAGTGAATGAAGTAGAATTTGCAGCTTCTAATATTCTGAAACCCTGAAGTAGTTCCAATTTAACTTCTACGCCATTCCAGTAACTTCCTTTCTTTTTTTTTTACATTATGGTTATTCGCATAAGAATATAGTACCAAGTATCATACCATGAGTGACCTCAGTGAAACTGAGCAACCAATCACAGACACAATGCTAATGAAACTAATTTATCTCAAAATTCATCTTTCAACGTACATCTGGTAGAAGTTCACTTGACCTGTTATTAAGCATAATTCATTTCATCTGGCCAAATGTGGAAGCATGAGCTACAGACAGATTTTAACTTTTACTTCCACAGATCTTGAGAAATATGTTTTTAATGTTGTATATTTTTAAGCAACTAAGAATAAAATTGTATAAAATGAGAAAACTTGATGGAAAAAAATGTTAATAATAAACCCTTCTGAAAGATAAAAGCTGTCAATTTCAGACACTGCTGCATAATATGCAGCAAGATCAATGGCAATAAAGACATATAAAATTTATTTTGCCTAAGAGTCATTTTCATAAACATAACAAACATTCCTGACAACATTTTGAGGTACAAATTAGCTCAGCACATGGCATATGACAACATCGTCTTGTGTTGAATACTTGCGTTGACTATACTGAGCTTTCCTGTGACTCCCCTGAGAACTCCCTGAAAATGCCATAAGAGCCACTTGAAATAAAAAATCTTAATAATTTTACCCAATTCACTATACAAGATCCTTCCTAAGGTAAAACATACCTGCAGTAGTGTGAAATCAAATTACATATGAGCTTTGCCACAACTTCATCATGTAATATCTCAGCTTACACCTTTGGACTACTAAGCAGATTGGTGCAGTGGTAATGCTTCAGATTTTTATTTGGGAGATATCTAGTTTCAATGTTAGCCAGGTCGCAGTCTATCTTGATCCCTGCTATTTCTTAACTTCTCCACACAAATTCCAGACCATTACATGCACACAGGCTGATCATCTCCTTCCAACTACTTACGAACTCAGTATTCATGAACTACCCATATAACTTTATACTACATGGCCTATCAATCATCAATTACATTGACAACAAATGTTCAGCTGTTCAACTAGCAATCTAATGCCAGTGGCTTGCTGGGGATTTGTTAGATACTAATTCTAGAACGATATGAACAGTGTACAGAGATAAGGTACAGACAGTGTTGGTTTATCAGTTTGATGACAAATTTGAAATCACTATAAAATTCACAATTTATCCTCTAAAACCATTCACACATAAAATTACACAGTAAGATTTGAGAAGCACTTAAAACTAATATAATAACCTCTGAAGGAGAGACGTACTTTCAGCCTCACCTCCGAAGATGAGATCTAGCCTCATCATTCCAGCAAGATCACCTGCTCCACTGGGTCCCAAAATAGCAAGCTCCGAGTTGTCAACATTTTCCCTAGCGCAGATCCGGCAGCATCCACATTCAGCACAGCCTGAATCCCCTTCACCACAGCCACATTCTCTGAGATAAATAAATGATGTTTTGTTCGATCAAATTTTCCAGTCTTCACAAGATACAGATCAGACACTGAATTATATCTTTCCTTCGGAAAGAAAACTTTTAAATAAATTTCATGTCAGTGTAAAAACTATAAAGAATTTCCTCTATTTACTGGGTAAAGAAAAGGTGGCTGCATATAAAATCAGTGTCTTCATATGAAACGTTTTGTTCATTATAAAAAGAAAAGCATTTGTAATGAAAGTGAAGGAAAATTAGTTTTAATAGGTAAATAGTTTCTTTTCAAGTTCTAATAATCTTTTAACATGTCAAACAGAAAATAATTTGGTCTCAAATTAAACCACACAGCTGACAAAATCAGCTTGAAGTGGATTTCCAAAATCCTACAAAATCTATTGCCTATAAAACTTCACGACAGAACAGGAAAAAAAGCAGAGACAAGTGAAGAATTTTGAACAGGAACCCTATAATCAAAAAAAATTATTAAATCACAGAATGTAAATATGTGTAAAAGCTTTTCACAAAATTGCACAAGCATACAGTAGCTTCACAATGCGAGGAAAGACATAACAGAAGACACAGACACAAGTAGAAAAATTATGGGAGGACAATGAAGAATGGTGAAGAAAACCCACCCTGGCATAATGTTACCTGATGATTATGATTATAATTATGACGATACTTGTAACAATGATGATTGAATATTGAGGACCTGTAACCAGCATTTCAAAATTGCTGGGAATATCCTATTTACTCACTGTCCTGGGTTCCGATCTGGTCGCATGCTGCTCAGGCAACTAATGCTGTAGCCTGTACATTCTCGACATACAGTACACACCATGCAGAGGTCATGCCTCCATTTGTGTTTCCCTGGAGGACACATTGCCTCCTGTGCATCCTCCCAGTCCAGATCTTCATTGTCTGCCTCCTCCTCACCTGTAGTCTCCATAGCGACAACCATAGGAACTACACAAGAGAAACTGTTTTACCATACACTACACACTAATAATTAATAGTTTGTTTAATATATCTGTGAAATGAATTCAAGTTTAAATCAAAAGTTCTGGACTTATGTGTCAAAGATTATTTCTCTGCATGCACACATTACAGATTTTTCAGACAGAGATTTTTGTGTAATATAACAGTTTTAGTCCAAATTTAAACTTCCAGTCTGTGTGCCTCTTGTGGTATTTCTCTAACTCTCTATTCACAAATTATTTTCATGATATAGGAATTTCCATGAAAAGGCGTCATGAGCAAGTCCAAACTGAGAACCTCCTGAATATAAGTTTAGAAGCATTACTTCTAGACCAATCTGTTTGTTGCATTGCCATCACACAGATATGAAATAAAAGAACACATACATGAATGGCCTCTAGTACCTGCAGGAAGACATACAAGCCAAATTTCATCAAAATCCATTGGTCTGTCTGAAAGTTACTGATGCTACCAGATATATATAGACAAATCCTGAGCATGTTATCCTTATAAAATATGGAAAGCAGGGTAATAAAAGCAGAAAAAGCAGGTCACATTACTTATAAAATTAAAGCTGCAGATAAAATAAGTGTGTAGAATTAATGAAGACAATTGTGTACACAAATTCTTCAGTTTTTATACTTTTATGTACAACAAAAGTGTATGAGATATAAAGCTACTGCACCTTCTTTGATTTGTGCAGCAAAGTCTCTCCCACACTGCCCCTTATTATTTATTCCAAATGTATACACATGTCCTTTATTGGTCAGGGCTACAGCATGTGCCTTTCCCAGGGAAACTTGTGTCACACGTACATCCTTTAGATCAGTTACGAGTCCTGAAAATTTAAGCAATACTGTTGGGTTACGTGAACTGTCAATATTTGACAAATAACTAATTATGAGGGTTGGAACTTTAATAGTGGCAACTATTTATTTACAACTGATACAAACTAGATGCATGTTTCAAAGTTTTTCTGTCCTTCAATGTAGTCACCAGCATTGTGTACAACCCGTTGCCAGTGATGTGGAAGTCGTAGAATACCTTTACCAGCGCCTGTTGTGTTGATAGTTAGAATGGAGCGGTCTACTGCCTGAAGAATCTTTGGAACAGTTCTGAAGCGAGTGCCACAAAGTGGTTCCTTCATCTTAGGAATCAAGTCGAAGTCACAAGGGCTTAAGTCCAAGGAGTATGGTGGATGGTACAGCACTTCCCAGCCCCATCGATCAAACAAATCAGCCACAGCTTGTGCTGCATGCAGCCGAGCATTGTCCTGCAAAATGATGGGTGGGTTCTGCAGAAAGTGTTGCCGCTTCTTTCTCAAAGCTGGTCGCTGGTTGTGTTCCAAACAGAACAGTAATACTGCACATTGACGGTCTGCTGTCGAGGAGCGGTATGCATTAGGATAACACCATCACAGTCGTACACGAGAATCACCATAACTTTCACATTGCTGGGGTTCTGATGAACTTTTAAATTTCATGGTGACCCGTAATGATGCCATTCGTTCAACTGGTGTTTCATTTGTGGCTCATAAGATTCGGCCCATGTCTCATCCAGTGTAAAGATATGGCGTGAGAAAACCTCTCCTTCATGCTCATAGTGCTCCAAGAGGTTACGAGCAGTGTCGTATTGTAGCCATTTCTGCATTTCTGTCAAATCATGCGGAACCCTTCGTGATGCAATTTTTCTCATGCCCAGGCATTCCTTCAGAACGTGAAGCACAGTCATATGTGCTAATCCTGTTTCTCGCGCAAGCTCACGAATCGTATGGCGTCAATCACTCTCCAGTAACGCGGAAAGACTTCTTCACTGACACTAGGACGACCTGGCTGACGCATGTCTGCCACATTTTGGCGTCCCTTGTTGAAGGCTTTTACCCACCTTGAAACTGTTCTGTAAGGCAACGCAGATTCCCTGCAAGCCTCTTGAAGACCTTGATGACACTATCATGCTATATGGCCTCTGGCACATTCAATCTTTATTCAACTCCGTTGTTCCTGTTTCGAAAACACTGTGACAACACTACATTAGACCGCCAGCTAACACGAGGCTATGTTCTTCTTGTCACTGCCCATACGTGTGATGTGGGAAGGGAGAGTCCATTTGCTCTGAGGTACGGTAGGTATGTAACTAATGTGTGGTATAAGCGACATTATTTGGCTCTGTTGCATGGCGTCTCTACAGCAGCGTTGCCACTATTAAAGTACCAACCCTCGTATATTATCTTTCTCATTATAGACTACCTGTAGAATTATCACAATGTGCAGTGTCTTTTCCAAACATAAGAAGTTCCCCTTCTTTAGAAACAAGGGCTGTTGTACCATTGTTGCATGCAGCATGCACAATGTTCAGTCCATCAACTTTAATCATCTTCTTTGGCTTCACTGGCTTTGGTTGACGTCGTCCTTTGTCTAGACAGAACAACAACAGTATATAGGTCATGCAAATTTAATATACAACATAACATACATGGACTATGTTTCAAATTTAATTACTGTTAACTCTTTCTCTACATGAGAGTATTGCAAAAGTCACTCAAGGCCAAGATATAAAAGTGTGTGTTTTTACCTATAGACCAAGCTGTATGATATAGAGAACTGTAACCTGGAGTTTCATAATAAAGAGCAAGGGTCTCCAAACTATGGCCCGCGGGCCACATCCAGCCCGCGATGTGATTTTATCTCGCCTGCGAAAGAATTGTGCAGAAATGCGCCAACTGAACTAATTTTCCAATGAGTACTGGTAAAAAAAAATACTTGTTCATAGATTTCAAATTCATTAATTAAGATTGTGTTTAAAATATACTGATATTCCATATTATGTTAATATTAATATTATTCACAATTTTACTAATTCTGGACCATATACTGAGCGGTATTTCTTCATACTTGTTTGGCCTCGATCGGCAGTGTCACTTCGTGGCAATGAAGGTAGAGCGAGCAGTTCATTACTAGCCATCTTGTGCACTAGACTTCTTGCAGTGGTGTGGTGTAATTGTAACGGATCATCACCACCACTGGTGTCGTACTTATTACCATTTTTGTATTAAAGGCAACTTATGTCCAGTTTTGCTCTAAATGTGCCGAGAATTGGTAGTGAGGAATGTTGATAAGGCTACTGGAACTTCAGTCCATTCTACGATGGCCGGCTTGTAAATTTATCTCCATTTTTGGGACGACATATCTGTGTGAACAAACTTTTTCCCAGATGAAGTACATCAAGTCGAAATACAGGGCAAAATTATCCAATGAACATTTGAAGTCGCTACTTGTGATTAGCGTTTAAAAATTTGAACCTCAATTTAATCAGATTTTAAGAATGCAAAAAGAGCTCCATCATTCACATTAATTGTTTTATTATAATTTGTAATGAAAATATGAGCATTTGCTGCTACTGTCTGTTGATTAACCTTTATGAGCCAAAGGACACCATATGGGGACCTTTAAAGTAAAGCCGAGTGGCCGAAAGACACCGTATGGGTATGCGCAGTCCACGTGTGCACACAGTGTTTTAAAATCTAATTTTAAGATAGAAATTCTTGTTCTACTTACATTATTTTTGGACACCCGCTTTATAAGTAGACTGTCTTCCCGCCTGCATCATCTAACTGAATGTTGCATGTAACTGAATGCAGAGTCCAACATCGCAATTCATGCACTTTGTCCTTATGTAACACTGTTTTCCAAGCGAAGCGCACACAAACAACATGTCTCGTATTAGCAGGAAGTAGGCCAGTGATGGCGAGTGGTCTCCTGTATTCGTAACGCTTATAAAACATCACAATTTCAACTATACACCATGGCCCCATTTCATATGGAACAAGCCGAAATTGAGAGGCCGCTCGTAAATCACACCATTCAGACACACCATAAGACTGAAAGCATGTAGAAGAAAGGGGCCATGTTGGGGCCTTTCTACATTATTTTTGGACACCAGCTTTATTAGTAGACTGTCTTCCCTCCTGCATCATCTAACTGAATGTTGCATGTAACTGAATGCAGAGTCCAACATCGCAATTCATGCACTTTGTCCTTATGTAACACTGTTTTCCAAGCGAAGCGCACACAAACAACATGTCTCGTATTAGCAGGAAGTAGGCCAGTGATGGCGAGTGGTCTCCTGTATTCGTAACGCTTATAAAACATCACAATTTCAACTATACACCATGGCCCCATTTCATATGGAACAAGCCGAAATTGAGAGGCCGCTCGTAAATCACACCATTCAGACACACCATAAGACTGAAAGCATGTAGAAGAAAGGGGCCATGTTGGGGCCTTTCTACATTATTTTTGGACACCAGCTTTATTAGTAGANAGTTAGTTAGTTAGTTAGTTAGTTAGTTATTAGAGAGGGTGGGTTTCCCCATGCACTGAGACCAGTATTGGTTCATTGTGCTTCCCTCTATGATATTCTACCAGTCTCTATACCCTACCGATATTGGTGCGTACCATCAGTCCCGAATGAGCCAGCGAGTTCGGCCTCTACTGGCTTGGCGGTATCTATAATGCTTCCCCCATCTATCAGAGGCGTTAGAGACTACTGTTGGGCGGGAAATGTCCCTGAATTTAGCTCAGTGACCTCCTTTGGAGATATGAGGTTCTTTTATGTGCTGTAAAGCTACGACACGGGACCCACGGCTTAAAGTCCCTCCCAGAGGACTTGTTCCCTGATCTTTTCTGCACTTAAAAATTCCACGACCTCCGCCGGGTTTGAACCCGCGTACCACAAGTCATGATGTGGGAACCTTATCTCTAGACTACGGAGGCCGCTTTCCAAGAAGTAACTCTGTGTGGATAGTCCGACATGTATAAACAGACACAGTTTCATAAGGACAAATAATAATAATAAGAGGGATAAGAACTGGCCCACACTTGTGTATACAAGAAGCCCACTGACTGGAGAATGTGCTATGAAAACAAACATTTTCTCTCCTCCAGATAACACATAGTCAGACCGTGAGTCAGCAGCATGCATTTATACTGCAGAAAGGTTTTGTGCAGAAGCTTTATGCATTTTTGTAGACAGATGCTCAAAATTGGGGAAAATTTTTTTTGGAATCAATGTAACAATTTTTACAGATTCTAAAATCTGTAAATTACAGTATCTGATTCTATATACTTTCTACATAAAAGTAGTGTTTATTTCGTTCGTTTATCACAAAAACTGTAGAAATCACAGCATTTTGAGTAACATGATTACAATTTTTATTACTCTACAATGGCGGGCATTTAAATTAACTCCATCCCGCTGCCACTACCGGAATTTAAATGGCCCGTCCCATAAAGGTTAATATATGATAATTTATTCTCACGTACTTTGTATTTAGTTTATGAAATTCTGTGCTTTCAATAAAACTCGTATACCTAGAGTTATTAATTTCTCATTTTATCCAGCCCATTGAAAGGGCTGAAATACCTAATGTGGCCCGCGTTTCAAAAAGTATGGAGACCCCTGATAAAGAGGAACAAGAACTTTTGGGTATTTCAATATGAAAAAAACTATTTTTTCTGCAACTTTATGGTTTAAACAAGATGAGTTTTATATGCACATGTACACGCTCACTCATGTGGATGTACACATAGGTACCCAGTGTATGGTTTTACCTCTGAACTAGGCCTGCTTAATACCACTGTATGACAAGCCAGCCTTCCTGGCCTATATCCTATTCTCACTGTCACTGTGTCACAGAAGGTCAACACAGATCACTGAACCTCACCTATGTATAAGCACATTACTGAAATCTATTCAAGATACTATTTGTGTGCTCTCTCAAAATTAATTATAAGGGTCCAGCAACAGGTTTTTAAGTTAAAAGCATTCAGTATGAAGAAAACTGCTAAAATATCCTATTTTTTAAGAGTACTGTGCACAACAACAGTTGTGAAAAAGAAAAAATTGAAGATGCAAAAATAAAATAACATTGTTTCACAAAAGATGAATTGCCAGCAACAGGTTTTCATTTTATAAAACATTCTCCCTGAAGAAAATTGCTAAAATTATCCTGTTTTTTGAGCACTGTTCAAAAGAATGATGGTGGAAGAGGAAAAAAGGGAAGAAAGAATAAAATATCATGTTTTTATTGAAAATAAGTTGCAACACCAGTTACTTGATTAAAGATATTAAAAAAATTACTGTGCTGCATGGTTCTCAAAATGCATTGGATTAAGCTCAGCTCATTCTGCAGAAAGAATGTGTTGACATTATATTTATGTTGATAAGCTTATGCTGGGCACACCCTAGTACCACCTTGCTGATGTGTGTTTTCTGCCCTGATTCAGCCACAGTAGCTATGTGCTTTTTATATACAGTACACAGCACATACATTTACATAAAATATACAACACTTCTCCTCTGTTAAAAAAGTAAACTTTCTACCAACTCTTTACACAGAAATTATATTAAATTATATAATCGGTTCTACAATTAAGTACATAGAGTTAATTAACAACTACAAAAGATACTGAATTACCGTACACTTACAGGATTTGAGATTCTCATGGCAGTGGTTATGAAGAGTTCTATCTTCTGGGATATAACGTCATGCAGTCCATTGAAAATTGCTTCATGATGGTTTCTTGCTTGGCCTATTCTTCACTCTGAAGATAAAGGCAACATGGTCCACCAGAATGCTAGCTGCCTTTGAAGAGACTACATGGCATTAAATCCCAGATGACAGAACTCTGCTGTACACTTGTGTATCATAACCAAACATCACTGAAAACTTAAATCCAATATTACAGATGGCCCATTTAAGAATGTGCTTGGTAAGGCCTCCTGATAATTACTTCTCTTGGGGAGCTTGTGATTTAGGGGCACATAAATCAACAGCAGCAGCAAACCTAAAAGATGATGAGAACTACCATATGGCAAAATGTGCAGCATAAAGAAATATACCCAAATTTTATTCAGTAGGTGACCAGTAAGCTATGGGGCAGAAATATGTTCCCCCCCCCCAAAAAAAAATTGAAATTCTGAAGTATGAAAATGGAAGAATGGTGAAAAGGAGGGCATGCTTGAGAATTTCTTATGCAGTCTCCCTTCAGCACTTGGAAAAAGGCACTTTTGTTTTGCTTAGGAATGAATGAATAAACATAACACAACTACTCTTGAATAACTGCCAGGTTTGCATTACAAACATAACACAAACTGTCCCTGATTATACTCACTCTGATCTCCATCTTCCCCTCTTCGAGCTGTACCAGCAAAGAATACGGTGCCATCTTCAGCCAGAAGAACAGTATGGAGACCCTCATGTCCAATGGCAAAATGAACTACCTTAGGGGACTTGATAACGGGAAGTTCAGCCCATTTGCCACTCCTCAAGCCACCCTGTTTGATGCCCAGGCTTGAAGACTTACCACAGTAGAGAATCTGCAGGTAATAACATGAAGAACCATAAACTGTTGTGTTAAAACAAGATAAAACTACCGCATGTTACAGTAGTTTTAATATGAAATTACAAACATGGAGGGAAAATACTGTATTTCTCTGTTTGTGGGAATTCAGTTACACAACAACGAAACAATAACTTTTAAACTGAATAAAGACATAAATTGTCGGATGTAACTAGAATCATGGTAGACCAATGCATCGGCATGCTCACATACAGCTTAAATAGTTGGGATGGCAACATCTGCTTACAACTTCCTATGTTGGTGTAAATATCGAGCCTACAACCTTTTAAAAAAAAATTCAGTCCCAATTACTCGTCCTTTTAATTCATTTTGATCATGGCTGGAATGGAGGGTAGTCTAATGTTATACAGCCAGAACAGACAAAGTGCCTGAAATGTGTACATTTAAATTGCAAACTAACATGCAGTAGTGTAGTTGGTTGAGGAACTATGCTACAACCCGGAAGGGTGTGGGTTCGATTCCCGATGACGTCATCGGGTTTTTCAATTGACCCAATCCTTCCAGCCACACCATGGTCCTGAGGTCGACAGCCTCTTACAGAAATGAGAACCAGGAATCTTCCTGGGGGGATAAAGGACGGCTGTCACATAAGGCACCCTCACTGCTGTCATCTGATTGTAAAATGTGCAAGCCTAGACATCTCACAACCCTATGGGCCTCCACGGCCTGTTACAGGAATAGCTTTACCTTTACCTTTCTACAATATTAAATGAGTAGTACACGAATGTTCTGAGAAGCACCTCCCAACGCTCCATTTCCTTACCCTTTTCGAGCAGGTACTAATGTCAGACAAGCCATATCACCTTAATGTAAACTGCAAATAGAATTAAGATACAGATCACTGCCTTTCAACAGAACTAACCAATTAATATCGCAAAATAAGATTACAGTAATACATTGCTATACAAAGATTCAGTATAATAAACTTTGGTCTTTCATTATTATTATTATTATTATAATTATTATTAAACCACTCCTGCTGTCTTTTGTATGCAGACGACCTCAAGATCTATCGAGATATCAAGTCCCCCACTGATTGTATACGTCTACAGTCCGACATCGATAGAGTTTACAGTTGGTGCATGGCTAATTTTATGAAACCCAACCTTAGCAAAATTAGAATTATTTCCTTTACCAGGAAAACTACTGCCTTGAACTTTCCATATAGGTTGGGTAATTCTGTCATACTTCGCGCTGACTGCATTAAAGACTTGGGAGTATATTCTGATTCCAAACTTTACTTTCATCAACATGTAAATTATTTATTTTTGCATGCCTTAAAATTATTAGGCTTAATTCGTACTATCACTTTCTCATTTTCCACCTTAGACAGTCTAATGACGTTATATTCTGCCCTTGTCAGATCTAAATTAGAGTACGCTTCTGTGGTTTGGAACTCTGTGACCAACACTGACTCTAATAAACTTGAGCGTATACAAAGAAAATTTGCAGCACTTTGCCACAACCGATTTTTTCATGACACGGAGTATCATTACATCAATATGCTTGATATGTTAAATCTGCGATCACTCCACACTAGGCGTCGCCACATAGACGCCTTGTTCCTAATATGTGTTTTTAAAGGTGACAAAAACTGTCCTTCGGTCCTAGAAACAGTTGGTATTCGAGCTCCCTCTCGGAACATCCGTAATTTTTCCCTGTTCTGCTGCTCCTCTAGTCACTGCCCTTCAGCCAGATGTGTCTCTGCTGCTAATTTAGTGTGTAACTCTTTAGACATTTTTAGTAATTCTAAAATAAGTTTAAAAAATCTGACTATTTAATTGTTCTTATAGTTTGCATCAGATTTATTTCTCAATTAATTATCTAAGCATCTCATTTCTCAGTCCTAAAATATAATGAATTTCTATTATTATTATTCTTATATTTATTATTATTGTAATTATTATTAAAAAATCTGTCTATTTAATTTGTTCATGTAACTTTTTGCAGGACACTTGTTATCACTTCATCATTAATATATTTACTTTTGTAGTACCTTCGACATATGTTATACTTAGACACTGCTTGGCTTCGTCTCTAAAATCTAATTGTGTTCTTTCAATTGTGCATATTGCAATTGAATTTTTGTAATATTTTCATCAATCTGTCTGTATATTGTGTCCTTGTGCTGACTCTGTAATTGGCTACCAGCTGTTGAGTACAGCACGTAAATAAAACCAAGAATTGAATTGAAAGAATTGAATTGAATTATTATTATTTTATGCAAAAAGCCAAACATATTTCACAATTTACAACAATCATACAATAAATTGTTTTCAAAATGTAAGCAGTCGACATCTAATGGAAACAGTGACTGTGTAACAAGAATAAAACCAATAATTCAATTCAGTTTATGTAACATGTCAGACATATGTACACTAGTCAAATCAGCACCGAATATACACATTTTCAAAGTGTTATATTCTACATAAAGACTGAGGCGGCAGGTTCTCCTATACACTGGTGCCTATCTACCAAACTACATGGCATCACATTCCAGAAGTCCATAATCTTCATATTACTGTGTGAACTTTAAATCTTGCCTATACTTGTTCACTAAGCCTTTCCTAAGATCTTTCACAGCTACCATTCACCGCCCACCCCCCCAAAGTCAGTTCACTTAAGGCCATCCCCCACTGTTCGAATTTGGAGAAGTGTAAGGGTACATACACTATCAGAAAATGAAATAAATGGTAATGCATACTGCCCATTTATAATACAAATTATTACACTTTTTAATACTCACTATACCCATTTTACTGCTTTGAATTGTAGGATAATCAAATTCCACACGATCTACTTTAAAAAGGATATGAAGTCATATTTTCTTGGATGGAGATTTAAAGTCACTTCAAATTATACAGTATCTTGAACTGTTCAACATGGAATTAACAAGATTTCACCATAGTCTGTTGACTCTTCGAAACACATGGATTGCAAGCAGAAGAATATTAACTGTGGCACCCACCTTTCCTGAATTTGTCCTTGCAAACCCAAAATCCTTTCCTGCTGCTATGAAAACTATCTCTTCATCACATCCAGTATGTATGGTGTGGATATTGGCATCTTCATCAAATGATGCACTTCCAAAAACATCCAAACATTTTCTGGCCAATTTCAGTGGCAGTTCACTTACAGATACCACAGGACTACTTGATGGATTCACCATTCGAACAACAAATCCATCCTGAGGAAAGAGGTGAAATTCAGAAGTGTAACACTGTATGAATAGTAACTGATCCACATAATACAGGGAGCAATCCCAAAGTTGTAAACATTCATAAAGAATCTTACATTTATTACTGATATTGCACATCTTGTGTGGCATTTAAAAGGAATACCATCCACATTTCATGACTCCATACTGATACTGTGCGGCCATTTTGTTTATTGTTTTAAAGTATTAATTATATTGGATTTGTAAAGTGTGGTACATAAGTCTGAATTGCATTTAGGAGGCTGCCTTCGACTGCGTGATTCGAGATGTTTGCAAATTCCAGGGTTGACAGAGACGGAAGATGTGTTGTGACTATGAGTGTTGAGGGATTAAGCCAATGGTGGCGTTCATGCCTTTTTCTCGATTTGAAGTTTTGGTGGCGAACAATGTTATTGGTTTGAAATTAACGCAAGGATTTAGAGTGACCAATTGTGGTTTGTTAGGAAGAAGCCTTCTGGTAGATACCATTGTCAGACGTGCGCGACGCTATGTAGGCCGCAAAAAGAGTAATATACCCTAAGTCAGTGATAGTGCGGCTAGTTTGGTCCTTCTGCATTCAAACTTACAAATTGGTAATATCCAAATATACAAATATCCATGTACAGAGTGCAAGTGTAACCCGATTACGCTCTCCGGGATTTTGTGAGAGATAGTGAGCCATATACTGCATTGTAATAATCAAATGAATAAATAACCTTGTGTATAAAGTTCTGTGGTTGTGAATTAAGTGATATGCTCCAGTCTAAGCGAGGCCTGTAAAGACCCTGGGAAGGTTTTTCGTGCTACAACAAATAAAATATATATATAAGTAAAATCTAAAGGTTAACAGGGCACTATTAACCCAGTACCCAGTTACTAAGTGTGGACAACGGAAGGCGGCCCAGAGAACAGCGGAGTGTGGGAAGAGTATAACTACAAGGGGAAATTGGTACTACTCGGATCTGCAACTGGTCGCAGGGAGGAGAGAGAGAGAGGACGGCTACAACCGTTATTCTGAAGCAGATTTCCATCATGTATGATCACAAAGCAAAACTTTATAATGAAGGAACATACTACCTTGAATGCATAAGGAGTGGGCCATAATAATCTGGCCCTTGCACTGTGACCTTCAGTGATCTATTGTGCTTAACATACTACCACAGTACTAAACAACAGACATCATTCTCATATATGGAAAAGTTTCAAGCTTCTGCAATATCTTGATCATATACCATAAACAGAACTGTCAAGTTCACATGTGATATTCATGCTTATTTTTTACATCAGCTAGACAAAATATACATATCCCTTAAGCTAATAAAACTGATTTAAGAGTGGAATTCTGGAAACAGCAGTGCAATTGGATAAACTTTTCCAGAGATATTTTACTTGTATGCCGATAACCTATTTACAGTGACTCACATCTTTGGCTGAAGTAATCATCCCAAGATTTTCTCCGTCTGAGAACATTACACATGCTCCCCAGTCTTTACCCTCCAAGTTCACAACTTCAGACACCCTGAAAGACTCCTTATCAATTATTAACAATTCACAACCTTTCTTGCTTGAACTCTTGTAGTACAGCAAACCCTGCAACAAAGGAATTTCATTACTAAAAATTATGGTTACATTCAAACGACATTTGGTATCTCAGTACTTTCTGACGCCTGAAATCAAACAACATGTTGTAATATGTTATGCCGCAAATTTTGAGAAAGGAAGTTTGAGGCATGGCCCCAAATGTTAAGACAATTGCAAAGGATTTGATTTGTTTCATTTTGGTCCGTCACACTAACAGTTACAATTACAAAAGACAAGTCCGTCCAATGCGACTATTTCAGTTTTCNACTTGGACATTACATGTGTATTTGATATGACAACTGTTGTGATAGTGGTTTCTAAAAAGTGTTTGGTGCCTCTGAAGATGATCCAAATGGATCGAAACATGTAAGGCTAGTGAATCATCAAGTGAGAAAACTGAAATAGTCACATTGGACGGACTTGTCTTTTATAACTGTAATTGCAAAGGAGGTTCACATCAATTAGAGCAAGGATGGCAACACATATGAGTGGATAATGGAACTCGGTCAAGAATGTTTTAGTCAGCAGAGATGCGTAATCGCGCCACTGCAAGTTCGCATTTGTAGGCCACTGGAGAAAAGTGAAATTGCTAAATGCATATGGGAGGAGACGCCACGGATTCATTAGTGAGAATAGAAGTTTGAACCAATAGGGAGCCACCACCCTTAAATTTAGGGCAAAGGGAGGAGGTAACTTCCCTCTTTTGTCAGCTGCTGCACCAGCTGTTTTAGAGTATAAAGGTGGGAAAGAAAGGATTTTGGGGGATTGATCAAAAACGTAATATTAGACAAGTAGCCGAAGGCTCTGTTCGGCATGGGCACTACAAGTGGTGGTGTTCGCCTGCGTCTCTATCTCAAGTAAGTCACTTTTCTCATACTAGCCATGTTACTTAAATTTATTGCTGTTTGTGAAATTGTTGAAGTGCAATTTCCAGTGTGCCCTGCGAGCCTTAGGGTAGGATAGGAGAAATAGTGTAACGAGTGATTGCCGGGGTGCTAGTGTGGTAAATATGGCTGTCGTTAAATTGTGTTACAATTTGCTGGTAGTATGCGGAGCACGCATATTTGCTGTTCATTGTTGTGACCACTGATTTTGTGATAAACATACTTAGGCTTTTTAGTATTTAAAGTTCTAGGAGCAGAATATTTTAAGGGTGAAGTATTATGATAGGATAGGGTAGAACTGTGAAATGAGTGGTAGGGAATGGAGAGACGAAAAGGTTTACGTCGAACGATTAATACTCGTATAGCCTCACGAGTCGAATTAAGAGAAGAAAAGAGAGACAGACTCGAGTCATACACCCTAGAAGGGGAGATCATAATGAAGTGATAGCCTGGCAAAGCAAAGACACTAGGGAGTCCTGACAAAATGTCGGCATTGTTATTACTGTAAATAGGATGTAAAGTGAAGTGTAAATCGATCAGTGTACATAGGGATAGGACAGAAATTGTGTAACGAGTGACAGAAAATGAAGGGAAGTGACGGTCTCGAGTCATACTCCCTAGGTGGGAGATTAGAAGGAAAGTGAGAACTAGTTGAGCCGATACTATGTAAACCCGACAGAATGTCGGCATTTCTATATTGTAAATACGAGTGTAAATAGACCGGGGTAATTAGGATAGGATGTACCAGAGTTGTGATTTACCTCCACGAACCGAACCCGTCCCCGACCGATCTGGAGCTATCCTAGTCCAGGCGAAGGCAGAACTGACCCTAGGCAGCCAACGGCAGCCGGATGCAACGAACAGTTAAGGGGAGGAGAACCCTAGTTAGAGCAGCTTAACGACACCCCAGTCTTTGGGGGCATGACAGTTCGTGGGTAGAGGCTGGTCAGAACCGACACGCCCGCTCTACACCATTACAAAGTGGTGCCAGTGAAGTTGGGATCAGCCAACAAAAGGATGGCTACAGAGTAATTTAGTATCATTTCTTTAACCAGCCCCATCACGGCAGTACAATTGGTGACAGCAGTGGGATATCGAACCCTCCCCCCGTCACCATGGCATTACAATTGGTGACATAGGTGGTACAGTGGTAGAATGCTCGCCTGCCACGCGGGCGGCACTACAGTATTACCTTTAACCCCCCCCTTCAGGCATAACATAAGATCTGAGGTTTTCATGGCGGTGACCATGAAGAATGCTGTCTTCTGGGATGTGGTGCCGTGTAGATCTTGTGTGAACCGAAATTTTGGAGGAACATATGGAGGTGATACGTTCCTCTGAAATGTCAGTTTGCACAAGATCTACACAGTGCCACATCCCAAAAGATGGCACTCTTCAAATAACATGTTAATCATGAAATCAAAAAGAGCACCACCATCTGTTTTCTGCTTGTAAAATGTTCATCCAATTTAACATATTATCAATGTGTACTGATAGGTGAACAAATTCTATTACGAGATGTGGGCACTCAGATGTGAATTTTCCTATCCCCAGAGATAATGTGATTGATAGAAGGGTCCTCCAACATAATGCAGCCCATAATATGGAGTGTGGGTCTATATAATCTTCATGTTCCAAAAGTTCTGGTTTCAAGAAAGAAAAAATTATGGCATGTTAAAAACAAAATATGACATCATGTAGTATGGTAGAAGTTTACTGACATACCTCTGAAACTTCAGTAAATTTTCACCAGACAACATGACATCACATCCCAGATAATAAGTCACCACTGTAAGAAGTTCAAATCTTGGATTACAAAAGATTCAAATCCGAAGTTCTCCAAATGGAGTCTTTCTCTGGTACCACCAGATTCAATAAAACCCACTAAATTCCATTATGCCAAAGCTACCAACTTCTGACACTCTGCTTCCCACACTATAACTAACCCCACAGAGCAGAGTCCTGCTTGAGAAGCTGACAGTCACTCAATTAGTCAAGAAATTCCCTGCCTTTTATGGAATCTATAGGCTATTACAATGAGATGAGAGGCTTACAATACTGTGAAAATTAGCAACATGATTTTCTGGGATGTAGCACTACATACTTTGGCAGCTACATTTCAGTGTTTCAGAGAAATCTCCTGCCTCACACTTCAAGGTAGAAGAGTTTATTACCATGGTCACAAGAACTTGCCATAAGATCCAATATTAAGCCACTTCAATCTAGTCCACATCCTCACAGAACATTTCTTGATGATTTATTTTATTACTATCCAGTTTGTCCATTGCTCTCATTCTATCAAAGTACATTTCTCAGACCAAAACCCCTCATGACATTTCATAACATTCTAGTTTTTTACAGTGAAGAGTTGTTAGCCCATTGCACAGTCCCAGTGTTAAATGACAACTGCTTCTTCTTCATAAGATTAACAGTTACCCACCATACCTTAAAAGCCAATTCCTCCACCCAAAGCCCAAAGACATCACATGACATGGTGGAAAGGGTATGGCTTCCACACACACTACATAAAGCACGTGTCAACAGCTACTACAATTATAACTCTCTCTGTAACATCAACGTCATTTATCTTATTTGTTTGCTACAACAAATACATACTTTTATAACTCTTGTTCTTTCTGCCACATATCTGGATATGTGTCTTTTGTATGTCTGAAAGCCAGAACAGTGGAGCCAGAGCAGAAGTCCACGGCTAGCCAATGGCTCGCCAAACACACGTTCCCACGGCAATGAACAGATGTGGGAGTCCATTGCTAGTCAACAGCTTACCAAACACACATTCGCATGGCAATGGATAAAACAGAGTAATACATGAACTTTTGGAGATGGTGATCTATATTTGGTTCGCCTGGAAGTTAATTCAGTTCAGGAGAGTTCAGTTGTAAGGTATCCTTCATTCATCATTTGTCATGGTGGAAGAAGACACTTGTAGTCCAGTAAGGAATGGAGCGAGTCTTAAGCAGTCTCTGATTGTGGACTGTTACAACTGATTTGAATTGTACAAGAAAAAAAAAACTCTGTGATCTTAGCCTGCAAGAGAAATATACTGACCGAGCGACTGCCGCTTGTCAGTGAAGTTAGTGCCGACTTTTGCGGATAGAGGGTGTTGCGTGGTCAGCGCAACAAATCCCCAAAGCCATTAATTTCGGTCTTCTAGACCGGAGCAGCTACTTCCTTGGAATAGCTCCTCAGTTATCACTGTGAGGCTGAGTGGACCCCATCCAGACCCACTACTTCTCAGAAGAAAATCGAATCTGGACCTCTGGATCTGTAGCCAGGAACTCTGGCCACTAGACCACATAGGCAGTTAATTGTACAAGAAGGTGCCAATAAATCCAATCGTCCAATTCAGAACCCTTTATCATTAGCCACACAAACCCCGTACACTTGATGATATTCTTCCATTTTCTTTCTTTACATTGNATCCAGAACCCTTTATCATTAGCCACACAAACCCCGTACACTTGATATTCTTCCATTTTCTTTCTTTACATTCTACTCCATCAGTATGGAAAATATAGTCTTGCACAAGAAGAAGGTGAATCCTGTAACTTATATCAAATACAGTACCCTGATTTCAGAAAACCAATGTTAAGAATATAGAAATAGGATGCTGGACAAGAATTAAGATTTTGTATATAGCTGATTTTATTAAAAATGCCAATCCACAGGAAGAAAATTTTTGGGAATACTTCTAGAAAATGGTAAGATTCTGCTTTGTAATACCAGACCAAGCAACTGAAAAATGACATTCTTTCATTAACTCAACAGTGACATGTGTTTTCCAATAGTACAGCCAAATAACATGTGTACACCATTATAGTAAGAATTACGAGGGTAATTCCAAAAGTAAGGTCTCCTATGTAAGATTTGAGGCTTTCACGGCGGTGACTATGAAGAAAGCAGTCTTCTGGGATTTGGCACCGTGTATATGTGGTGTTAACCGACGTTTCGGAGGAACGTATCGCCTCCATCTTCAGGGTAGAAGAAAAAATATATAA